AGAAAGGTGTGTCAACGATCAAAATCGAGCAAGGGGGGCCAGAGATATAGAAAGAAAAACCATTTTCACCCAAATCATCTCAGAGGTGGGGTGGTTTTGGCTAAACCTCTCTAAAAAGATCAAATGTCACTTGTTTTGCATCAATCTTGATACAGGGTACTTATTATATGTTGTACTTTGGATTCCTAAAGCTTTGAGTCTACTAACCCATCATCCAAGGGTAGTTTTCACTATCTGTAAAAAAGAATATTTGGACGGACACTATAATTTACAGTTTTTTACTATGTAAAATCTGAGTTTTCTTTAAAATAAAAAACATTTATATTGATTCTGACACTTCTACATCCAACTCACAGATGGAACCTTGCTTTGATAAAAGAAATTATTCACAAAACCCTTTTAGAAGTTAAGTTGTAGTCATTTGTTTTGGGCATGTCATTTTCGAGCCTGAAACATGAAAAACAGGCTAGGTGCTTAACAGGTTAAAGGTAAGACAATCCAGTTTTATGGAAGTAACTTAAATTATTTTTGTTTTTTCTCCTACAAAGATACTTATAGTTACACTTTAATGGATGCAAAACTTTATAACTTGGTTTAATATTCATTATTTTGTAATGAATTGAGTTTTCTTTTTTGTTTTTGTTTTTCAACATACTATTGTACACAATGACTTTTCCATATGTATATATTTTTTCTGACAAACTATACTTTGACTTTTTCCGTAAAATCGTGACAAACTATTACTTATTCTTAAATTTGACCTCTTGCTGCTTGGTTGGAAATGATAGATGAAAAAGCTACAAAGCTTAAAGAACTTTCTAAAAACTCTCAATTCTACAGATGACTCCCCCCACTCAATGCAATAAGTCCACCCCCCACTCAGCAAATCATCTAAAACGAAGGACCCCACTAAGACGACCGTTGAAAACTAGCCAGGGATCTGAGAAAAACCAAGTCTCCCCCCGAGAGTTGCAGACAGGAACACACTCCTGGACTACCATCGTCACCACCATTGTGGACACCCAAATCTTGCAGTACTACTGCTGCTGATGTTACTCCTTGGGGCCAAGAGGTCTCTGTTTTTGAACATAGTGAAATCGGAGTTGGTTGATATTCTGGAGAGGGTGCTGCATCGGTACAGAGAAGAAATCTGCAATGGATGCCGAGTCAGTCACCCCGGCCAGAGGCAACACGATTGTCTGAATGACATTCCAGAATATTTCTTCAGAAACAATTACAACGCGTTAATGAAAAGACTTTGGCTCGCCGACTTCATTACTGCGATTGACCAGAGTCTTAATGATAAAAACATTTACACGGCTGAATGGAGGATCCAAGGCGCTTCGGAGGCTTTTCTGCACAATCTCAAAAACTGCAGACGCCTCAAGGAGAGACTTGAAAAGATCCATGCCGAGCTGGATGGAGAAGATGAAGACTAATAACCAGCGGTTGATTGAAGCCAGGGATTTTTTTTTTTTCGATTGCATTATTTTGGAAAAAGACCAGCAGACCAAGCGTCACATATTGGGTCTGGCAAATGTGAACAACTTTTCCTCTGGACAGAATAACATATATACTAAAAAAAAAAACAAGACTTTTTTGACATGATTCTTGAAACCATTGAATCTGTTTGTGGAAGGTATGGAGCTAGCAGATGGTGAGGATGATTGAATACTGACGAGTGTAAACCTCATAATATGATTATTTTGAGTTCAGACTATGTTCCATGAAACTGCCTTGAATTGAACCAAAGTGGCTGGAAATGTCATTCAATTTTGAAATGTATGTAAGATGTGTCTTTGTATGAAGGGTAGTGTGTTTTCTATTTTTTATTTGTGTTTTTATTTGCACCTGTACCTCAGTGTAATTTGACCTTGAGAAGTGCACTTCTGTATGTGTGGAACTGTACACTGTATATATGTCTTTTTTTTGTATAAAATATTAATAAAAACATTGTTAAAAATAAATAAATAATAATAATACATATTATTTATCAAGCGCTTTATCAGGTGCTCAAAGACGCTTCAAAGAGGTAAGGTACGTTTATTTGTATAGCACATTTTCAGACACAGAGGCAATTCAAAGTGCTTTACATCATCATTAACACTTAATAATAAGTGTTAGAAAAATATCACTGGTCACCTGCTTGAGCTTCAATCTCAGGATCCATGTATTTATTATCCTCTCAAGAATGGAAGTCAAAATAAAAAAAGAGAATTTGTTGGTATTTTTGTTGGTAAATCTCAAAATTCTGACTTTTTCTCAAATATTCTGACTTTTTCTCAAATATTCTGACTTTTTCTCAAATATTCTGAGTTCTCAAAAATCTAAAAAGATTCTGACTTTTTCTGAATACTTAAAAATAATAATAATCCCTGGTCACCGGCTTGAGCTTCAATCTCAGGATCCATGTATTTGTGATCCTCTCCAGAATGGAAGTAGTCATCACATACAGAGCATCAACTAGTTCCTGAACAGTGTCCTTCACATGCTGATATCCAAGAGAGGGAGTTACACAGTCACAAGATGAGGAATAGAAAGCAGTATTCAATGTTTACTTCAGATTAGCTCCACGTCAGAAATGAGCATGCTTGTCATATGTCTATCTCCATAGAGGCTGAATCATCATGTTAATCACATAGCTATCATATGCCTCAAACAGTCCTGATGCTCTTCTAGGTAATCATACATCCTGTCATGTTCACAGCTACAGTTGATACCTTTGTTATCATGTTACTCTCATGTTGGAGGAGTAAATTCAGTGTTTTACCAACAATAACACAGCAGAAAAGAACACAATAAAATGAATAAAACATAATGGAATAACAGATTCATAAAATACATGCATAAAAGAGATACAGAATAGTTTAAAAACAACCTTGTAAATACGGTAAGTGTTAAAACAAGTTAAAAGACTTCTGGGTAAGCAGCTGTAAAAAGTAGTGTTTTTAGCCTCGACTTAAAATAACTCGGCGTTGGGGAGCATAAATGTGCAAAAACACATTTTATTTCAAATCTTGTGTCCAACAACAGAAATAGGCCCCAGATCCTTTTTACCACTCTTAGTTGTCTTTTAAATCCTTGTAACTCTCCCTGTGTTGTGCCATCACCTACTCTAGTGCCCCTTTCACACCAACGCGGTTCCCGTTCTAGCTCCGTGCTAGAGCTTTTCTGGTTCGGAACCGTTTTTTATTTTCAGTCCCCGTTTTGTTCACACCGCTCAGAGCCCGACTGGTGCTGCCGCTGCTGCGTCATGACGTCACCGTTTACGTCGCTGATTTTCTCCCCAACGGCGTCGGGTCGATGATCGTGTTGCTTTAATCATACGAAGTCAGATTAAATTACATAACTACTTATCGACCCTTATACTTTTCTCCAGAGTGCCGTGGTTCATTGTTTATTAATGTGTTCAGCGGCATTTACCGAAAGCTGCAGTGCTGCCCGCTGTTTGGCATCACAACGCTGTTATGAAAGTGTCTCTGGTATAAAATGGGTGATGTTAGCATAGCAACCGAAGCTAAACTGACTATCCTATTGTGGCATAAGCCGTTTTCTACAGGCACATTTTACCGGCGTATTTGTCATTATGATTCTACTTGTGATAGTCGGACATGACAACCTGTGCAGCCCATGTATTGATTCCATCCGATAGCTGCTATAATACAATATAATACTGCCTCCTGGTGCCGCAGAGATGTCATGAAGTGAAGGAGGTTCTATAAACCAGCTGTGGGCAGCAGATACTGTGAGTGTCGCGGACATGAATTCATAGATAAAGGCAGACTGGTGCACACACTCTCCTGTTTTGCCAATCCGGTGCTTAAACAAATATAGCTCCACACCTCTGGCCGACATGTCCTTAAAATGAAGTCCGAGTTCGACATTTCAATTCATGTCCTGCCAACACTGGCAGGACAGAAGGCGACACGCCCGTTCTAAGCCGTGTCCCTCACTCCTCACATCCCAAGCTGCATGATGGAAAAAGAAAGTAATCCAAAAGTAATCCAAAAGTAATCTAAAAGTAATCTGATTATGTTACTTTTTTAAGACACGTAACTGTAACTGTATTCGGATTACTTTCAGAGCCATGTATTCAGTAATCAGTAACTGATTACATTTACAAAGTAACCCTCCCAACCCTGCATATGTTCAGCCTCAGAAGAGAGAACAACATGCACCACCATTACAAACAACACATCAACAGTTGTAAAGACACATCTACAAGCAAATAGCAACATCCAAATAGCAGCACCTTCACCTCTAAAACTACAATACATGTTAATAAAAGCACCGAATAGCAGTCAAAGAGGAACGGGCCTGCGTGTTACTAAGATCACATAAGATGAGATAAGAAGTACTTTATTCATCCCAATTAGGGGAATGTTTGCGTGGCAGCATAAAAAGACAAGACATTGTACATTAGAGAAATGAAAAGACTAGAAATAAACAATCCAACATGTAAATAATACATGCACTTGTTTTGCTGGATAAACTTGTCCTCAAAATATAAATAAAGTTGTATGAAAAGAGGATTACAAATATTATTTTAAATATCAAATAGTTGGTGAGCCCCCCCCTCAAATGGCATTTTCCCTGTGTCCTTTCTTCTTGGTGACCAACTTCCATGTGAAATAACATCATTTTATTTGTTATTTTATTTATTTAATGACTTCATTGCTTTATTTCTATTTGTATAAATATTTAGAGAGATTAAAACAATATATATCCTCCTCTGCTGCCACCTTCAGGATAGCTAGAGTAACATCAGCTCTACTGAACAGCCTCTATCTATCTATCTATCTATCTATCTATCTATCTATCTATCTATCTATCTATCTATCTATCTATCTATCTATCCATCCATCCATCCATCCATCCATCCATCCATCCATCCATCCATCCATCCATCCTATAATAGCAGGGTGATGCAGAGTGGGGTCGCCTATCCCTTTAAGAGAGAGAGAGGCGCGGCGCGTGCATGTGTAGAGCGAGAGTGAGCGAGCGTAGTGTGTGTCCGGAAGAGAGCGGGAGTAGCAGCAGTGATCAGTCTGTCTCCAGTTAGCTGAATAACAAAGTCCTGAGGAAACACAGCGGCCTCCCAAGGAACAGCCTGCCTGTCTGCCTCATTTCAGAGTGGGTTATTGAAGCCGAAGCCTGGTGCTTCAGTCCGGGAAGACTGCAGAGAGTCCTCCCCTGTATTCCTCCACTACGGTCTGGGAGCAGCATCTATCTCCACTGTTGCTGTACCCATGTTAATGTCCCTCTGTGGGACCAATAAAGGACTTCTGATTCTGCGGATAGACAGAAGAGAGGGGGGAGGGGCGGGTTGGAGAGCGGCCTTCTTCTTTTCCCGAAGAGTCCTCTTCCTCGCAGCCCACCGTATCCCAGGATGCAATGCGCGCCAGTGACGAGGACACAAAGCAAATGTCGGTCCGGTCTCAGAGAGAAAGCAGCACGTGAGGAGTAACTGATAAACGTGAGTATCGGGTTTAACTTACTTTAATAACTGATAATTGTGAGTATTGGGTTTCATTTACTTTAATAACTGATAATTGTGAGTATTGGGTTTAATTTACTTTAATAACTGATAATTGTGAGCAGTGGCGTTTTTATATGTACAAAAGTGGTGGGGCACAAAAAACTTATATGTCTATATATAAGTTTCTGCAGTGACGTGCAGTGAGGTTCATGGCTGCTGAGGCACTGGCACTGACTCTTCAGGTTTACAAATATTATATTTTGACCTAAACCAAAATATAATATTATTTTCAAAAGCTTTTTTTGTCTGATGCTTCGATTAATTTTAAACAGACAGTTCAACAAAAGGATACCCAAAAAATGTCATTTTATCATTTAAATATTGAATTGTTCTCTCTTAGTAAGATCCCATTTTCAATAAAATGGCGGTCTTACCTTGACTTGAAGATGAAGTCCATTTGCCTATCCTTCTGGACAAAAATGTCTATAACTTTTTTGTAAAAGTCCTCCTTATGTTCTTGTAGTTTCAAAAGTCTATAATAAATCTAATCCATAGATTTATGATAAAAAAATTATATAAGTAGGGTAGACATGTGGATGTTATCCGGCTAATCAAAACGTGCATTTATCTAACAGGTACGTTTCCCACAGATCTTATTTCGAGCTATTTTCTAAAATCCTCTGGAGAAATCTCATTGCTTTTTTGTGCTTACTTCCTGGTTTTAGGACACGCCACTGCAGCTCTCTCGTCTCCTCTTCACACAGCACACTTTTCGCGGCACACGTACTTACAGCCAATCAGCTCTGAATGATTTGAGATGACGTATCGTGGGGATGGTAGCTCCGTGCCCCTCTGGTCATTATTTTTTTGCCACACACATTTCATTACAAAATACTCTGAGCATGCGCAGTGAAGTTTTTACAGTCACCGTTGACTTCACAGCGAGAGGAAGGGGCATAATCAGGTTTTGTCCCACATGGCTCTAAACAGCTCAATAGGCACACACTGTGACTGTAGACACACTAATTAGAAGAACACAGACTAAAACAGCAATGTACAGATGAATCAGATGATTAAACATGATCTTAAAATATATTTTATATTTTTTTTTATTTTTTTTTTGCATTTTTGTAATCATTATTTGTAATACTTTCTGCTGGCACTAGGTGGGGCTGTGCCCCACCTGCCCCTAATGACCAGTCGCCACTGATTGTGAGTATTGGGTGTTTTGTTCTCGTACTGTATTTACAATCAATACTCCAGACTACGACGTGCTATATTCAACGTTTATTGTTATACCGGAGACGTAGACATTCATGTCTGGTAGGAAGGTGAACTTCAATCAACTCTCTGGCTGCGCACGCATACTGGTCACGTCACGTCGGCCAATCATTAAAAAAAATTAGGCTTGTTTGAGATGAGCTGCGTCTCGCCTCGAAAGTTGACGAGAATAGCCGATTGCAGCCGGGGGAGGTCTCAAAAAGCTCGCCTGAAGTCGGAAAGGTCGGAGTCGGCTTGACTCTGTTTGCAATGGCGGAAATTGCGTTGGCGTTCTTCGTTGCAGATGAAGTGGATGCAATAGAAATCCCATAATTATTATATCACTACAAATGAATGACTCAAGTGTCTGTTCATTTTAAAACAAATCAATACAAGGGGGGTTGAATCCTACATTACAAAGACAGAACCACTTATTACTTTTCAAAACTACTTCCGTCAGTGGTCTTGACCAGTTTGCATTTATAAAGAATGCACAAATGTGTTTAATCGTTAATGTCAGATATGTACGAAGTAAATACATTTGTTCCTGCTCAAGATTAGATTCAACTTTATTGTTATGGCACAGATTACAGGTACTGAGACAACGAAATGCAGTTTAGCTTCTAACCAGGAGTGCAACAAGCAGTAAAGTGAAAAGTAATGTACACAATCTACAGAATAAAATATAGAATGAGTTGAATGATGAATAAACAGTGAGGGGTATGAATACACGAGATATACACAGTAGCCTGTGAGCAGTATGAACAGTGTGTATGAATATGCTAAGATATATAAAGTATGAAAACGGTAAGCAGTGCAAGTATAGTATAAAATATATAGATATTCATTTAATGATGATAAACATTGTGGAACAATGATGAAAAATGTGAATGTAAGTGGCGACGTAAAACTGACACAAAACAACAACAAACTTTTGCCGAGCCAATTGGAGAGTTTCATCTCCAGCACGGGGTAAAACCCACCAATGAGCGCTCGGCTCGAGATACCAGCGAGTCGTTTCCCATCAAGCATTTCGCCTCCGCAGCCCGTGGAGAGAAACTCAGCGGCTTCGCCGCGCCTCGCTCTCAAGTCTGCGGGCGTCTTTGTCCCGCGAGATTTCAACGTCTCATGTAGGCGAGTATGGAGCTAATTTCCTGCCATAACTCCACAAACAAACTAAACAGGTTTTACAAATGCCTCAACACAATGTGGTTTGCAAATACAAAACACCATCTACAAACTAATGCATTTAGTTTTGCAAAGAAAAAACGTATCTATCAAACAAACTCAGACAAATTCAGCATAGGTTTTACAACTACAAACCTTTTTCTTCTCACGGCGGAATATTACTGCCAATTATAATACTTCCAAACTCCTGACATTTTCTCTGTCCCGACTCCCGAGGCACCAGCTGAACGTAGCCTCTTGTTAGCTTACTGCTACTATTAGACACTGCGCCCACTCTGTTGCCAAATTTGAGAGAAATAAGCAACCAGGTCTATGAAAACAAGCCCAAAAGAATCAACACATACATGATGTTGTGTACCATTTTAAACCAAAACTAAGGCCTCAGGATGACTTTAAGACGTGAACATGGTCATTTTTGTTTTGTAACATTAAATTAAAAAAAAAAAAATTTTATATCAAAAAAAATTCCAGATTCCCAATTTTTTTCTCCCGATTCCGATCTTTTGAAAATCACGTGATCGGCTCCGATCCCCGATCACGTGATCGGATCGGGACATCTCTATACACAACTTTTTTTTACAACTACAAACCATTTTCTTCTCACGGCGGAATATTACTGCCAAAAGTCACGTGACTTTTGGCAGTAATATTCCGCCTTGGCTGGCTCATACAGGGTGTTTCTCAATCGCGAGTAAAGCTGCTGCAGAGCCACTATTTCAAGCATACTACGTCATCCAGTGCCACCGAAGTACTGTTCCAATGTCCAGCATACTTGGAAATCTACCGAGCCCGGCGTACTTCGTAGCGAGAAATGTCGACGTCAGTAAAGTGTTCAAATCTGGATCAGTTTTTATCAGATCCGTTGCAGCCCCTTTTTTAGAGATTTGGGTATGGAGGAAAATAGAGAGGGTTGTGTTTTCTGACACTTGGTGAGTTCCCTGGAACACCGGGGACACATATTCATGTAGAAAAGACGTACAAAAGTGCATTTTGCATGATAGGTCCCCTTTAATACCTAAAGTCAAACCCAGGGGCATTAACATGTTGCATTTAAATAATACGGATAAACACGTGACGTTAGTGAAGTTGCACGTGCTGCCGTTTACTATTTTATATTGAAATCAACTCAGAAGCTTCCTAATGTCAGACAGAGATCTCGACTCTGTTATGGATAACTTATACTTTATATTAAGTTCATAAATAGATCAAAGTGAAAACATTGGACCAAAAAAAATGTGCTTATATTTGAAGTATATCCATTTGATTTTATCATCTTATCTTGAAGGTATCATGCAAAATGCACTTTTTGATGTCTTTTATACATAAATATGTGCGGTGTGTAAGGAGACTCACAAATGTCAGAAAATAAAACGTACCCACATCTGTAAAAATTGGGGTACAACGGAGCTGATCCAGATTTGCTGCGGTCATGATGACATTACTAAAAAGGGGGCTGCTTTACATTGAACTCCTGGCAACGTTGTGCCCACGTCCCAAACTATCGTCTCCATATACAGTCGGCTAGCTGAATCCCCTCCCTCAGCTCCCTCAGCTGTGTGTCTGTGTGTTCAGTTTACGAGAGGGACTTAGAGTAGAGTTGAGTTGTATATATATATATATATATAATACATACAAGTGTTGCACGGTGCACCAATATTAGAAAGGTATCGCAATACCCTGCTGTTAAAAATGTTACGATTCCTCCATTTCATTAGTATCGGTACTTTAAGACTGACGTTGTTTTAATAAGAGCCGTATTTCCTGTGTGTGTTCAGCGCTCTGCTTCCACTCCCTGCAGCCTGTCAGCTCCTCTCAGAGACTGTGTTTGTTGTTTCAGATGATGCTGCTATTTTAGTTGATACAAACTTTCCTGTCGGCTCCCAGACCGTAGTCGAGGAAAACAGGGGATGACTCTCTGCAGTCTTCCAGACCCGAAGCAACAAACTTCGGGTTCAATAACCCACTTTGAAATAAGGCAGAACGGCGAGCTCTTCTTTGGGGGCCGTTGAATTTATTAAGGTCTTTCTTACAGATCTAACTTTGAAGACACTCGACAGACCTATTTTGCTGCTGCTTCGTTCACCTCAAAACACACACACACACACACACACACACACACACACACACACACACACACACACACACACACACACACACACACACACACACACACACACACACACACCAGTGTTCCCGTTAGAATATTTCTTTGCCGGTCAACATGTCCGTTAAAGTTTAAATTTTCCGGACAAAATGAGAAAAGTGCCGGTCAAAGGTCTTCTTTGTTATTTATTGAGCTTTTAAACAAATTGATATGATTCGACATTAAACAAACTAATTATAGTAGATTAACTACATTATTCAAAAGTGTTCAGTAACTTATAACACGGGAATAATAAACGGAGCGCTCTCTCTCTCCTGACAGCCCGTCAGTATCATGCAGCTCGCGGATCCAGTAATGAGTGACCCGACAGTAAAACTAAACATATCTATAACTAGTTTAGGTAGTTTGAGAGGTCATTAAAATATCTACGTGTGATATTCTAACCTGAAGTGTGTGTTGCTCTGCTCACCGCTGCAGGTGATCATGCAGAGCTGCGTGTCGACTCGTCAGCAGCAGCTGATCTCTCCCGTCAGATTAGACTATACTCGCGTTTATGTCCATATCGATCAGATCCAGCTAGTTCTAGCTAATGATATGACTACCTGCTTATTAAAAGACACCTAAACAATAAGCGTCGCTATGCAACCGGGTGAGGCCACAAAGTATAGCACAGCATTATGCATTTGTTTACATGCCCACCGGAACCCAGAGGCATTACCAACAGATCAACGCACAATCAACCCATACAGGACATCTCTTTCTCCACGTGTTAGACATTAGAATTGATTATTCTTGTCTGTCACATACTCTTCTTGTCTGTCACACACTCTTCTTGTCTGTCACATACTCTTCTTGTCTGTCACATACGCTTTTGTCTGTCACATACTCTTCTTGTCTGTCACACACTCTTCTTGTCTGTCACGTACTCTTTTGTCTGTCACATACTCTTCTTGTCTGTCACACACTTCTCGTCTGTCACGTACTCTTCTTGTCTGTCACATACTCTTCTTGTCTGTCACGTACTCTTCTTGTCTGTCACATACTCTTCTTGTCTGTCACACACTCTTCTTGTCTGTCACGTACTCTTTTGTCTGTCACATACTCTTCTTGTCTGTCACACACTTCTCGTCTGTCACGTACTCTTCTTGTCTGTCACATACTCTTCTTGTCTGTCACATACTCTTCTTGTCTGTCACGCACTCTTTTGTCTGTCACGTACTCTTCTTGTCTGTCACGTACTCTTCTTGTCTGTCACGTACTCTTCTTGTCTGTCACAGACTCTTTTTGTCTGTCACAGACTCTTCTTGTCTGTCACGTACTCTTTTGTCTGTCACATACTCTTCTTGTCTGTCACGTACTCTTCTTGTCTGTCACGTACTCTTCTTGTCTGTCACGTACTCTTCTTGTCTGTCACGTACTCTTCTTGTCTGTCACATACTCTTCTTGTCTGTCACACACTTCTCGTCTGTCACGTACTCTTCTTGTCTGTCACAGACTCTTCTTGTCTGTCACGTACTCTTTTGTCTGTCACATACTCTTCTTGTCTGTCACGTACTCTTCTTGTCTGTCACGTACTCTTCTTGTCTGTCACGTACTCTTCTTGTCTGTCACGTACTCTTCTTGTCTGTCACATACTCTTCTTGTCTGTCACACACTTCTCGTCTGTCACGTACTCTTCTTGTCTGTCACAGACTCTTCTTGTCTGTCACGTACTCTTCTTGTCTGTCACAGACTCTTCTTGTCTGTCACGTACTCTTCTTGTCTGTCACGTACTCTTCTTGTCTGTCACGTACTCTTCTTGTCTGTCACAGACTCTTCTTGTCTGTCACAGACTCTTCTTGTCTGTCACGTACTCTTTTGTCTGTCACATACTCTTCTTGTCTGTCACAGACTCTTCTTGTCTGTCACAGACTCTTCTTGTCTGTCACGTACTCTTTTGTCTGTCACGTACTCTTCTTGTCTGTCACGTACTCTTCTTGTCTGTCACAGACTCTTTTTGTCTGTCACAGACTCTTTTTGTCTGTCACAGACTCTTCTTGTCTGTCACATACGCTTTTGTCTGTCACATACTCTTCTTGTCTGTCACATACTCTTCTTGTCTGTCACACACTTCTCGTCTGTCACGTACTCTTCTTGTCTGTCACATACTCTTCTTGTCTGTCACGTACTCTTCTTGTCTGTCACATACTCTTCTTGTCTGTCACGTACTCTTCTTGTCTGTCACATACTCTTCTTGTCTGTCACGTACTCTTCTTGTCTGTCACGTACTCTTCTTGTCTGTCACGTACTCTTGTCTGTCACGTACTCTTCTTGTCCGTCACGTACTCTTCTTGTCTGTCACAGACTCTTTTTGTCTGTCACAGACTCTTCTTGTCTGTCACATACTCTTCTTGTCTGTCACGTACTCTTCTTGTCTGTCACGTACTCTTGTCTGTCACGTACTCTTCTTGTCTGTCACAGACTCTTTTTGTCTGTCACAGACTCTTTTTGTCTGTCACAGACTCTTCTTGTCTGTCACGTACTCTTCTTGTCTGTCACGTACTCTTCTTGTCTGTCACGTACTCTTGTCTGTCACGTACTCTTCTTGTCTGTCACAGACTCTTTTTGTCTGTCACGTACTCTTTTGTCTGTCACGTACTCTTCTTGTCTGTCACGTACTCTTCTTGTCTGTCACGTACTCTTCTTGTCTGTCACGTACTCTTCTTGTCTGTCACAGACTCTTCTTGTCTGTCACGTACTCTTTTGTCTGTCACGTACTCTTCTTGTCTGTCACGTACTCTTCTTGTCTGTCACAGACTCTTTTTGTCTGTCACAGACTCTTTTTGTCTGTCACAGACTCTTTTTGTCTGTCACAGACTCTTCTTGTCTGTCACATACGCTTTTGTCTGTCACATACTCTTCTTGTCTGTCACATACTCTTCTTGTCTGTCACACACTTCTCGTCTGTCACGTACTCTTCTTGTCTGTCACATACTCTTCTTGTCTGTCACGTACTCTTCTTGTCTGTCACATACTCTTCTTGTCTGTCACGTACTCTTCTTGTCTGTCACATACTCTTCTTGTCTGTCACGCACTCTTTTGTCTGTCACGTACTCTTCTTGTCTGTCACGTACTCTTCTTGTCTGTCACGTACTCTTCTTGTCTGTCACGTACTCTTCTTGTCTGTCACGTACTCTTGTTGTCTGTCACAGACTCTTCTTGTCTGTCACGTACTCTTTTGTCTGTCACGTACTCTTCTTGTCTGTCACGTACTCTTCTTGTCTGTCACGTACTCTTCTTGTCTGTCACGTACTCTTCTTGTCTGTCACAGACTCTTTTTGTCTGTCACAGACTCTTCTTGTCTGTCACGTACTCTTTTGTCTGTCACGTACTCTTCTTGTCTGTCACGTACTCTTCTTGTCTGTCACAGACTCTTCTTGTCTGTCACAGACTCTTCTTGTCTGTCACGTACTCTTTTGTCTGTCACATACTCTTCTTGTCTGTCACAGACTCTTCTTGTCTGTCACAGACTCTTTTTGTCTGTCACAGACTCTTTTTGTCTGTCACAGACTCTTCTTGTCTGTCACGTACTCTTTTGTCTGTCACGTACTCTTTTGTCTGTCACGTACTCTTCTTGTCTGTCACGTACTCTTCTTGTCTGTCACAGACTCTTTTTGTCTGTCACAGACTCTTTTTGTCTGTCACAGACTCTTCTTGTCTGTCACGTACTCTTCTTGTCTGTCACGTACTCTTCTTGTCTGTCACGTACTCTTCTTGTCTGTCACGTACTCTTCTTGTCTGTCACGTACTCTTCTTGTCTGTCACGTACTCTTCTTGTCTGTCACGTACTCTTCTTGTCTGTCACGTACTCTTCTTGTCTGTCACAGACTCTTCTTGTCTGTCACATAAGTGGCGCAACTGATGCGGTATTGCACTAAGGGAAATTATTTTGACCGGAGAGATTTAGATTTGCCGGTCTTCAGCATATTTTACCGGTCATAATCCGGTAATTACCGGCTAACGGGAACTCTGACACACACACACACACACACACACACGCCACACCCCTCTCTCTCTCTCTTAAAGAGATAGCGATCTGACTCGGCATGACCCTAATATCATAGCACTTGTCATTTTACCTTGAATGCCATTGCTTTAATTTATTTAATTTATTATTCTCATTGTTCAAAGGTTTGTGTTATGACTGAAACATTTTTCCAGGTTTGAAATAAAGCACAATAATGACATTTAAGACAGTTTCCCTTTTTTAAGAAATCGCAATTCTTGACTTGGTATCGAAACAAAAATGTTGGTATCGTGACAATACTAATACATACAATGGCACTGTTCTAGTGGTAAACACTGAATAAACGTTCTGCCCCAACCTATCAGAAACATCGCTGTATCAGAATAATGCGCAACGTGTTTTGGGAGTAATATGGTCTGATTACATTAGCAAGCATCGCTAACACTGAGAGCTAACGCTGTACTGGAGGGAGTATGTGTGAAGAAGCCGGATATTAAAGGAACTCACCTTGTGCTAAACCCGCATAGAGAAAGCGTTTGAGCTCCATACTGTTTCAGAAATAATGCTTGATGTGGTTTGGAACATAATCTATAGTGATGTTAAAGGTAGGGTAGGTAATTCACTTCAGAAACACTTTTTGTTATATTCCATGGAATGCTCTTAACATCCCGATAGCAATGAATATATTAAATGCTTTGACAATAAATATATACAAATATTTCATCTGTGGAAGCCGTGGCGCTTTAAAAAGCACGACCATCGGCCTCGGCCCGCGGCAGATGATTGGATGGCCTACCATCTGTGCACAAACTTATCTCGTGCCCTCATTGGTCATGTGCGCGTTTGTTTGTGTTGGAGGAGGGGCTCTGTGAGGAAGTCTGAAGGAAGGGGCAGATTTCTTTCGGTTGTGTTCTTTCAAATTCTAGCGCACTCGAGCTGGTTTCTCCATTCTTACCTACCCTACCTTTAAGTACTGTGCAGAGGCTTCGGAGCGTGGTTCGAATAATCCAGGAAATATGTATCCTTATCCCATAATAATAAGACCATCAGAAATGGACAGAAGACTTTTGCTTGATTTCAGTTTTTGGAGTGCTGTCAAAGGGATGCTAGCTGTGACTGTCACTTCTTATTTCTTTTTTAAACTAAAACAGTACGTCATTTTAAATATGGTTTTGTCTGTAATGCTGAGTTACATTTTGCAATCATAATTTTGCCACCCTGTGTATAATTAGATCAATTAATTTTTATTTTTATCATTTACTCTGTGATTAGGACAATTCTGGAGGACTGGGTCTGCTGGGGAAGGAGCTGCCACCCACACAGGACCCCCCTTGGTGATATTGTCATATCATATACACAACTACGGTGTAGTTATGCTATGCAAACGTAGGTCACCGGTTCCTCAACAGTACAACTCCTGCCTATTGTCTAAGTGTTAAATGAAGGGCACAGCTAGCAGTGCCTTAATAGGAGCCCCCTCCAACTGTCTAAAACAATCACTAAAAACAGACCAACATCTCATGCAGCCAGTAAATACAGAGCTAACCCTGCTAACTAACATTAGCATGAATGACTCAAACCTACATGTAGAAACTCATATCTGCAAACAGAAAAGTAGAAACTTCGCCCCCACGCTCTCCCTGTCCAAACTAAGCAATGTTACTATGATTTAGATCAGCTACAGTACTAACTCACCTGTTGTCCTGAAGCTCTCCAGAGCATCTGGAAAAAAGGTGTAATTGACAGACAATCGAGCCAACAGAAACACAGAGTGGGCGGGACTTAGCAAATCAATAGGCAAGCATTTAAAATAAGGAATGGATAAGGGCTGCAAAGTTAATGAAGTGTTACTCGTGGTTAGATTTTCAATTCTTATACTCTACAGTTTCTCTGAATATGTGTTTCCTGTTTCCTGCAGACGTCCAGCAGCTGGTGGTGGTTAAAGAAGAGGTTGCCCCTGAGCAGCAGGAGTGGAGCTCCAGTCTGGACCAGGAGGACCCAGAGCCCCCCCCACACATTAAAGAGGAGCAGGAGGGACTCTGGATCAGTCAGGAGGGAGAGCAGCTTCAAGGGCTGGAGGAGGCTGATATCACCAAGTCCACATTCACTCCTGTCCCTGTGAAGAGTGAAGATGATGAAGAGAAACCTCAGTCCTCTCAGCTTCATCAAAGACAAACTGAACACCTGGAAACAGAAGCTGATGGAGAGGACTGTGGAGGACCAGAACCAGCCAGGAACTCAGATCCAGAGAGACATTTACAACCTGAGACTGAGGACAACAACACAGATGACATATTCTGTTCATTTTCAGGTTGGTATTAGTATGTTGTCTTCACTGGGACATGTCTCCATGCTTTAAGGTTGAAAAATATCTTTATTTTTCTCATACTGCCTCGTTTCACCCTCTGTCTGAAACCAGAGCCCAGTCTGCTCTGATTGGTTAGCTGGCCGGCTCTGTTGTGATTGGTCGACCACTTAGCGATGTCCCGTCCCTTAGCCTATCATGTACAACGTGTTGACGCCACCGTGAGTGGCTGGCTGTTTAAGCAGTTCTCCTGTTTCTCTACTTTTTTAGTTATAGTCTTTATTCTTTTCATTACTCTTTACCTTCACTGTACCAAGTTTGTTGAAGATACAACATTTACTCTTATTTATCCCCAACGGGGAAATAACTTTTATTTGTACCCACACATGAACACATGCCGAAACTGAACCCCATGCAGGATAGGAGAGTGAATGGGCAGCCAGTTTTCCGGCCCCCAGAGCCGGGTTGAAAACACGGCGTGCGAAAATATACGGGTGGTGCTGCAGCTAGTCCTGTCCTCTGTGAGAAGGTGACGGTGACTGTCTGCGAGGAAGAACAGGCTGTTCTAACTTTAATAACTTTATTGGCTCTCCAGGGTAGTGAATTGAACATGCAATAGTAATTGGGTGTGGAATCTGTAATATAAAGATAAATAATAGATAATAATAATAACAATAATAATTAAAGCTGCAAGCAGCGTTGAGCGGGTCTTCGACGCTCCGCAGGCTGTTGTCCGCACGTCGACGTGTGTGTCTAGGTGTCTCGAGGACTCGGCCGTTGGCAAACGTGGGAAGTTTCAGGCCGATCGGACAATGTATTTAGGAGTTACAGCAGTATCATAAACATTGTGTTTGATGGCGAGTGATCTGTCGCCATGGCAACGGAATTTGATGACACCGCATAATACGCCTAGATGTGTTGAGGGCTGCATCGTTATCAAACCTGTGAAGTTTTGGGCCGTTTGGAGCATGTTAACTGGAGTTATGAAAAAAAGGTGTTTCACGGCGACCATTTTGTTACCAAAGCAACGACATTTGACGAATCTAAAAACTGACACATATATGTCTCGAGGGCTTGACGGTTAGCACACATGTGAAACTTTTTTACCATTTACACAGGAGTTAAAGCAATATGGTGCTTAACGGCGAGGGATGCGTTGCCATGGCAACAACTTTTGAGGAAAACTCACTATTGTCATATTGAGGTGTTGAGGGCAGGACCATTAACTTTCATCTGCAGTCTCGTGCCGTTTGGACCATTTTCCATTGATTTAAGACAACATTGTGTTTTATGGCGAGGGATGCGTTGCCATGGAAACGGCATACGGTGAGATCTCAGATTTCACGTAGAGCTGTTCAGGGCCGCAGTGTTAACCATCACGTGAAGTTTGGTGGCGTTCTGAGTATGTCAGTTGGCGTTATGACATCATCGTGTTCCATGGCGAGGGATCGCCTAGCATCGAGCGAATGCGAACTTTGGCGCCAAATCACGGCTACGCCGTGCGAAAGAAAAAGACTTCCGTGATAACTTTGAATTGCCCATGTCTCGAGACGCTACCCGACGAATTTCGATTCGTACGGATAAAGTCCCTGGGAGAAGATAGATTTCGTGCGGAGGACGAAAAACGCGATAAATCGCGTTTTTCCGACGCCAAATTAGAAATGGCCGGCTTCCTGTACGTTATTTTATACACCTCCAAGAGGCTTTTTGGTTTGTCTCCGCACCCTAGATATGCGTAGCGAGTTTCGTTAGTTTACGTGAAAGTTAAAGTGGGGGGAGTTTACATTTAAAAACGGAAGTGGGTGTGGCCTACACAATTTTTGACGCAAAGTTCCGGAACCAATTACACATCTGAAGTTGCACCACTTCTGACGCGCGTGCAACATTTGGTGAGTTTTCACATATCTTGCGGGGGTCAAAGGTTTATCGGTCGCTGCGCGACCGATTTCAATAGGGTCTTCGCCGACCTAGGTCTCAGACCCTAATTAAAACAGAAGTGCGCGCAGTGATGAGCGGGCCCTCGCGTCCGTGCGCCTGTCGGGGAGGGCGGCCGGTCATCCCGGCGTCACGCAGACGCGACGCGAGTCCTCGGAAATGAGCCATCTGTCATTTCTATAATTTTCGCGTCCCAGGTCCTCCGGCAAAGACCCGGAAACGGATGTCGGCGCGCCGTCTCGAAGGAAAACAAATTTCTCTAAAGGCTCGTCGAGGATCGATTATCAAGGAGGCTGTCTGGAGGAGCCGTAACCGAGGATACACTGATTTAGAGGAGAGAGGAGAGAGGAGAGAGGAGAGAGGAGAGAGGAGAGAGGAGAGAGGAGAGAGGAGAGAGGAGTCTCTCTGGAGGAGCTATAACCGAGGGTACACTGATGTATTCTCCGGAGTCCATTTCAGCCAACAGTGATGTTTAAAAGAGGCGTGACGCATGGCTGTACTTATGTCAACGAAGCACAGCTCTGCAAACTGTTCCCGTTGTGATTATAAGTTATTTGAGATGATGAAATGTGCATCAGACTTTCTGCCCTTTACCGTTTGTTTACTCACTAATCACATCTCCCCTGGATGGTAGGCTATGTATTTATTATACAACTGCTTTCATTGTGACGCGATGTTTACAGTGAGAACAGCTGCTGAGGTCAGTGCAGAACAGCGTGTATAATATATATCGCTCAATAATATATGTAACAGGCCTACTGTACATTTCACACTTTATTTGTAGGCTTTAGGAGATATCTACAAATAAACGGTGTGTGTGTTGTGTGTGTGTGTGTGGTGTGTGTGTTGTGTGTGTGTGTGTTGTGTGTGTGTGTGTGGGTGTGTGTGTGTGTGTGTGTGTGTGTGTGTGTGTGTGTGTGTGTGTGTGTGTGTGTGTGTGTTGTGTGTGTGTGTGTTGTGTGTGTGTGTGTGTGTGTGTGTGTGGTGTGTGTGTGTGTGTGTGTGTTGTGTTGGGTTCCCGCGGGGTCTTAAAAAGTCTTAAATTTCATCATCTGAATTGAAGGCCTTAAAAGGTCTTAAATATGACCAAAAAAATAAGAAAGGTCTTAAATATGATTTAGAAGGTCTTAAAATGATGGGATTTGAAAGGTACTTCTGTGTTGCGATCGCGTCTAAAATGTGTTTTGGGGGAAATGTCCGGGCTGCAAGTACGGTAATAGCCTTTCAGTTCCCCCCAACAATTTGTATTGAAATAAATCAACATGGAACCAGTAATCACTAACTTTGTTTCCCCCGGCCCCTTAACGGAGAACACCCAGCTAGTAACCTAGCAACCAAGCTTCAGCTAGCGGCAGTCAGAAACTCATGTCTCTTCGAATCTACTTACAAATAAATATGGGGAAGTGTAAGTTCAACCGTATTTGGTTGGAAAACATCGAATTTAGTGCTTGGTTGAAACCAGTGGAGGGGAACGTGTTTGAAGCCTGCTGCACCCTTTGCAAAAGAAATTAGCGTTTGTTTGGCTAATGTAGCGTTAGCTAGTGCAGCGTTAGCTAGTCCAGCAGCTCCCGCAACAACACCGTTGGACCTCCGGGCGACGTTTGGGTCTACGTCAACCCTAAAAGCGGAGGTGCTGTAGTGTATACGCTAAATACCGTAGTTAAACACCAATCATACAACAGCAACGATGAAAGATTGTAGCCAAGGCAGCAGAGCTCTGAATATAGCTCTTGTTACTCACTCTCTCTCTCACACACACACACACACACACACACACACACACACACACACTGCTCGATTATGGCAAAAATCATAATCACGATTATTTTGGTCAATAATTGATATCACGATTATTAAATACGATTATTCATTGACTTTGAAAACATCCATTTATTGAACTTTAAAACAAATAATAATTTGAACAGTATCTTTTTAACTGTTGATTACCCTGAACGTATAATTCAACTGAAAAACCAATACAAAAATTAATTAAATAAATGATATATTTAAATAAATAATATCAAAATAATAAATACCAATAAACAAGATCAACAAATATTTTGGAGCGCACTTCCACAAGCTACTAAACATATATAAATATGATAAATAAAAATAAATTAGACTAAAATTAATGAGATCAAATATGTCGTAGTGCACTGTCACAACCTAGCAAAGCAAAATAATAGTTTTTTTCGATTATGTTGTTTTTGTAATTGTGGCAGGCCAAAATCGTAATTGCGATTAAAATACGATTAATTGCACAGCCCTAACACACACACAAGCACACACAGAGACACATACACACTTTTTGGCTAACACAGTTCTGTACTGTTATGCTGTTATGTTCAGTCATTGTTCTTATGTTGAACATGAATACATTTGATTTGTAAGTAATTATGGGACGTATTTCTTCTTTCATAGCAATTTTCCTTCATACTTTCTTGCCGTGAAATAGGTCTTAAATTCTATTCGAAGTGGTCTTAAAAAGGTCTTAAAAAGTCTTAAATTTGAGTTGGCGAAACCTGCAGGAACCCGTGTGTGTGTGTGTGTGTGTGTGTGTGTGTGTGTGTGTGTGTGTGTGTGTGTGTGTGTGTGTGTGTGTGTGTGTGTGTGTGTGTGTGTGTGTGTGTGTGTGTGTGTGTGTGTGTGTGTGTGTGTGTGTGTGTGTGTGTGTGTGTGTGTGTGTGTGTGTGTGTGTGTGTGTGTGTGTGTGTGTGTGTGTGTGTGTGTGTGTGTGTGTGTGTGACAATAGGTTCCTCGCACTTCATGCTAGGACACCGTTGGGTCCTAGCGCTCCGTGCTCGGGCCCTAATAAATTCATTTTATTTAGCGCTTCTCATCTGCCAAGACAAATCCCGAAGCGCTTCACAACAGACTACATAATTAAATGTAAGAGATAACAAGTTCAAAATTAAATTTTAAATAAAAATTAATTAATTTAAAAAAAGTCAAAAATGGGATAATGACCAGTGACATTGTTAGACAGTAAATCAGGTAGATAAAGAAATGGCACAATTAGCTGGCCTATACTGCCCTCTATTGGCCAAAGGCCTCCACAGAATGACGATTGAAATGACAGGTTATTACAATTAAGTAATGAACTATTATAAACAATCACACATGAACAATATACAGGAAGGCACACAATGAAATCTATATAACGACTATAATATAAAGAACACTGCATACATTGGCCCTGCATCAACTGGGCGTTACATTGTTCATTATGCAAGGTGAGGGAGCGTCGCCTGGTGCGGCCGCACCTCGCGGCTTTGCATTATGAACATTAACCCACCAAGAACCAAACCAGGCAAGAATATATGCACTTACAATACATTTTCATGCACGCACACGCATGAAAATGTATTTAGTATCCTATCCATGTGAACATGATTTAAGTGGGGGGTGGACCTCACCTCCTCTAGGGGGGTCTGGGGACATGCCCCCCCTGGGAAGATTGTTTTATTAAATGTTGAAGTTCAAAGCATCAATCTGGTGCACTTTGAGAGCAACATGAAGAGATCTATGGACACATCTCTCAACATTCATATGAAACAGAACTGTTAACTGATTTTCCTTTTCTTTATGGATATTTTACAAATCCCTCCCTTTTTCAAACTTTATTCTTGTTTATTAATAACAACTTTTTTTTACTGTAATATAGTATTTTACACCTGTTTTTCATTTATTCTCTTATTGTTTTATAACTTTAATGATCATATGAAGGTGTGCCTTTACCTCACTGAGCTGAGGTTATCCTCTCAGTCTGTCAGGAGAGAGCTCTCTTCCACCTGGTTGTAGAAAAAGCTCCTTATATCCGTTAGCATAGCTAGCTAACCAGATGCTTTTTTTTGCTTTTTTTCGTGTGTTTATAAATTACCTCGAGGGCCGTATCAAATGGTCTCGCGGACCGTATATGGCCCGGAGGTTCCCCTCCCCTGCTTTAAAATGATGCCTTGAATTCAGAATTTTTCCATCAGATTTAAAAACAATGATGTTAGCGCTAACTTCTCCATGCAGAGCTGGTGAAGATGAGGAGCCTCAGACTCATCCCTCCATGCAGAGCTGGTGAAGATGAGGAGCCTCAGACTCATCCCTCCTCGGCACAGCACTAAGCTTCTCGGACAATCTTTTGTGCCTGTAGCCATCAGGCTGCACAACCAAGGGTTAACCCTGTAACCCATTATACATAACCTGCATCTTCATCAATATCTCAACTCTTTGATATTAATTTGTAACCCTCTGTGTTTTATTAGGGATGCAACGATACCGATCCCATTAACGGGTATCAGGCCGATGCTGTCCTCATGTACTCGTACTCCTATCGGTGCATCCCTAACTTTTGGTGAAATCTAAATGTCTTCCTCGTAGGTCTTCCGATATCTTTTTTTTGCGAGGCATGGTTCACATCAGAAGTTAAAACTTGTGAATAGAAAATACAAATGTTTGAAGGATTTTTATAAGTTAACGCTGGAGCAGCACTTCTTATCGTGTTTCACCGATTAAAACAAAGTGTTTTAACTCCTGACTCAATTAGTTTTTGTTAAATTCTAGGAGGTCACATACTTTTAGGGATTGAATCAAAATGGACACGAATACATGTGTGTTCTACAAGATGAAGCGGATTGTGATTGTCTATAAGTGTGACTTACATGAAGATCAGATCACATTGAATGAGCAATTCATGCAAACACCTATGAAGCTCCCTCTGGAGGGCAGCAGCATACATGATATGTTAAGTTGTTATGCATGAGAGTCAGTAAAACCTTGCAATCCTTTTTTTATCTGGACGTGTAAGGGTGAAAACTTTAATGTCAAGACATTTGATGAATGTAATTAACTTTAGCTATGTTGCTCGTTTATTCACTCAAGTGAAACCAACTTGTAGCTCTGCAGTGTAAGTAAGGAACGACTTAGTCTAATAGAGCCCTGTTCATTTCAGTGTTTTATTTTATTACACCTCAGAAAAAATACAGAGGGCCGGACCTCGTTGAGTTCAATGGGGGGTAAGGCCATGACTGCACTTCATTTGACTGACCGCTCTAGTTACTCTTCTAAATCATTCATATCTCTATTTAGAGCTGCCTTAAAAACACAAAAGGCAATCCGGGTCCCAAGCTGTATCCACATGTAGGGGTACCAAACCACTCCAATTATAATTACACTTACCTTTCTCTGCGATAGTTGTTGGTGCATAAATGTAAAAATATATTAGCCATAGGTATTCATGATATTAATTAGGAATATACAAACAAGGGGTTCAAAACGGGGCTTTGAGCGGTGACGTAATGAACACAACAGCTGTTCTCTGTAACGTCTCTGTGTGTGTTTCCTGTTTCCTGCAGACGTCCAGCAGCTGGTGGTGGTTAAAGAAGAGGTTCCCCCTGAGCAGCAGGAGTGGAGCTCCAGTCTGGACCAGGAGGACCCAGAGCCCCCCCCACACATTAAAGAGGAGCAGGAGGAACTCTGGAGCAGTCAGGAGGGAGAGCAGCTTCAAGGGCTGGAGGAGGCTGATATCACCAAGTCCACATTCACTCCTGTCCCTGTGAAGAGTGAAGATGATGAAGAGAAACCTCAGTCCTCTCAGCTTCATCAAAGACAAACTGAACACCTGGAAACAGAAGCTGATGGAGAGGACTGTGGAGGACCAGAACCAGCCAGGAACTCAGATCCAGAGAGACATTTACAACCAGAGACTGAGGACAACCCTGGAGACTCTTCTGAACCTGACACTGAAGACAGTGCTGATTGGATGGAAACCAGAGAACCAGGTTCAAACTCTCAGAGAAATGAACAAGACTCTGTCAGTGATTCAGGAGAGAAAACATTCAGCTGCTCAGTCTGTGAGAAATCTTTTAAATGGAGAGGACATTTAAAGAGACACATGAGAATCCACACAGGAGAGACACCGTTCAGCTGCTCAGTCTGTAAGAAATCTTTTACACAGAGAGGAAGTTTAAAGGACCACATGATAATCCACACAGGAGAGAGACCGTTCAGCTGCTCAGTCTGTGAGAAATCTTTTACACAGAGAGGAAATTTAAAGTGCCACATGAGAAACCACACAGGAGAGAAACCATTCAGCTGCAGTGTTTGTGACAAAAGATTCACCTGGAGTCATAAGGTAAAAATCCATAAGTGTGTTGCTCGTCAGTCCTCACAGCTTCATCAAACTGAGGAGAACAGACAGGCAGAGCCTCCAGCCAGCAGCTCAGCTGAACACATGGAAACAGAAGCTGATGGAGAGGACTGTGGAGGACCAGAACCAGCCAGGAACTCAGATCCAGAGAGACATTTACAACCAGAGACTGAGGACAACCCTGGAGACTCTTCTGAAGACACTGAAGACAGTGCTGATTGGAAGGAGACCAGGGAACCAGGTTCAAACTCTCAGAGAAATAAACAAGACCCTGTCAGTGAATCAAGATGTAGTGCAGGAGAGAAACCATTCAGCTGCTCAGTCTGTGAGAAATCTTTTACACGGAGAGGAAGTTTAAAGGAACACATGAGAATCCACACAGGAGAGAAACCATTCAGCTGCTCAATTTGTATGAAATCTTTTGCAGTAAGAGGATTTTTAAACAGACACATGAGAGTCCACACAGGAGAGAAACCATTCAGCTGCTCAATTTGTATGAAATCTTTTGCAGTAAGAGGAAGTTTAAAGGACCACATGAGAATCCACACAGGAGAGAAACCATTCAGCTGCTCAATTTGTATGAAATCTTTTAAACAGAGAGGAAATGTAAAGGAACACATGAGAATCCACACAGGAGAGAAACCATTCAGCTGCTCAATTTGCATGAAATATTTTGCACAGAGAGGAAGTTTAAAAGTACACATGAGAATCCACACAGAAAATAAAACATTCAGCTGCTCAATTTGTATGAAATCTTTTGCACAGAGAGGAAATTTAAAATTACACATGAGAGTCCACACAGGAGAGAAACCATTCAGCTGCAGTGTTTGTGACTTAAGATTTACTTGGAGTCGTTCGGTCACAAATCATAAGTGTGTTGGTCGTCAGTCCTCACAGCTTCATCAAAGACAACATGAACATATGGAAACAGAAGCTGATGGAGAGGAATGTGGAGGACCAGAACCAGCCAGGAACTCAGATCCAGAGAGACATTTACAACCAGAGACTGATAAAGGTGGCGAACCATCTCTAGAACCTGATGACAATGTTGACATTGAGTTTTGGAAAGATACCAGGCAGCATCAGTCTGGGTTCACTTATCGAAGAAATAAAAAAGTATCTATAAGTAAAGGATATATGACCAGTAAGACAGCAGTCAGCTGCTCTGATGACCAGGTTCAAACAGATCCCAGGACTGGTGATGGTGTTTGTTTTTCCACACAGACCAGGCAACCTCATTCAGGTCCAAACCATTTGGAAACTGAGGACGTTTCCATCAGCGAGAATCCATTCAGTCCCTCAGAGCGTAAAGATCAATATGAGGACAGTCAGCTGACGCACAAAACATCTCCCACAAGAGAGAAACCATTCAGTTGCTCATGTTGTGGTAAATGGTTTGCAACAGAAGGAAATCTGACCAGGCACATATGTGTCCACACAGAGGAGAAACCACCCAGTTGTGTGGAGTCGCAGCTCTTGAACCACGAGTGTGTCGGCGAGCCCTCTCATTGTCACACTTCTAACCCACTGTTCGACAGCTCTCAGTGTGGAACAGTAATAGACCGAAAGCACCAGCTGCCGGTTACCAGCAGATTTCAGAAAAGTCTGAAACCGAATGATGGCTCACTTTGTGGTATCGCTTTTTCCAATCTTGAAAGTTCTCACATGCCTGGTCAGTTTGGGGAGAAACCTTTCTGCTGCTCTGTGTGTAACTCAGGTTTCAGTGACAGCGAGGCTTTAGTACAACACATGAGGATCCACACGAGACAAACCCAGTTTAGTTGCTCACTTTGTGGTAAAGAATTTGCATGGAGAAGATCTCTGACTAAACATATGAAAGTCCACAAAAGGCCGAAATTATGCTGCAGATATTGTAACAGAATGTTCCCTTCGCAATTTACGCTGAAATACCATGAATGTGAGGGTAAGTCCTCACAGCCTCTTCAAACAGAAGATGTAGAAACAGAAGCTGATGGAGAGGACTGTGGAGGACCAGAACCAGCCAGGAACTCAGATCCAGAGAGACATTTACAACCAGAGACTGAGGACAACCCTGGAGACTCTTCAGAGACTGAAGACAGTGAAGAGGATGATTTTTGGAAACAGAGCAGTGAAGGCCTGTCAGATTTAAACTCTCTGAAACATGCATTTGATGAAGAGAAACCTCAGTCCTCACAGCTTCGTCAAAGACAAACTGAACATCTGGAAACAGAAGCTGATGGAGAGGACTGTGGAGGACCAGAACCAGCCAGGAACTCAGATCCAGAGAGAAATGTACAACCAGAGACTGAGGACAACCCTGGAGACTCGTCTGAACCTGACACTGGAGACATTGGAGATTCGAAGGAGACCAGAGAACCAGGTTCAAACTCTCCGAAAAATAAACAAGACCCTGTCAGTGATTCAAGACGTAGTACAGGAGAGAAACCATTCAGTTGCTCAGTCTGTGATAAGTCTTTTAAACAGAGGGGACATTTAAAGGAACATATGAAAATCCATACAGGAGAGAAACCATTCAGCTGCTCAGTCTGTAAAAAATCCTTTCCAACGAGAACAAATTTCCATAGACATTTGAGAATACACACAGGAGAGAAACCATTTAGCCGCACAGTCTGTGAGAAAGCTTTTGCCCTGAAAGAACCTTTCCATCGACACATGACAAACCACACCGGAGAGAAACCATTCAGCTGCAGTGTTTGTGAAAAAAGATTCACACAGAGCTATCAGCTCAAAAGCCATAAGTGTGTTGGTCGTCAGTCCTCACAGCTTCATCAAACTGAGGAGAACAGAGAGGCAGAGCCTCCAGCCAGCAGCTCAGCTGAACACCTGGAAACAGAAGCTGATGGAGAGGACTGTGGAGGATCAGAACCAGCCAGGAACTCAGATCCAGAGAGACATTTACAACCAGAGACTGAGGACAACCCTGGAGACTCTTCTGAACCTGACACTGAAGACTCTTCTGAACCTGACACTGAAGACAGTAATTATTGTTAGGTTTAAACTTCAAATAAAACCATCCCACCCATTTGGACTGGGGTAACCTAAATGAATTCTGCGCTGTCCTCTTCTGATTTAGGGTAAGATTGCACGACTGCCACACTGACACTTAGGTAGGGTCACACCTCACTACAGGTACTAGAATCCTACGGGATGGCTGCAGCAAGTTGTTGGAGATCTGCTACCAGTCTGTTGTTGGAGATCTGCTACCAGTCTGTTGTTGGAGATCTTCTACCAGTCTGTTGTTGGAGATCTTCTACCAGTCTGTTGTTGGAGATCTTCTACCAGTCTGTTGTTGGAGATCTTCTGCCAGTCTGTTGTTGGTGATCTTCTACCAGTCTGTTGTTGGAGATCTTCTACCAGTCTGTTGTTGGAGATCTGCTACCAGTCTGTTGTTGGAGATCTTCTGCCAGTCTGTTGTTGCCAGTGCACTCTTCTTTGATGTGGCTTCTCGTTGGATAACTGGATTTAAACTCACAATGTAAAATATATATGTTTAAAGCTCCCATGTCATGCTTTTCCGGTTATTACCCGTCCCCTTGTGTGTTATGAAGGTTTTTATGCATGTAAACGGTGTGCAGAGTCAAAACCCTCAAAGTACACCCTGTAGCGAGTAAAACTCTAACACAGAAAATACCTCCCCAAAACGCCTCGTTGGAGATACGTCACTGCCCATTTGATTCTTCCGGGTACCGCATGATGTCATGCGGTACCCGGAACGAAATGGACCAATCCCGAAGAGCTATGGCCACACCAGCAGCGGCGTGTTCCTCCTCCAGAGGTTCGAAGAACCGGCATTTCACAGACGAAAGCTTCCAAAACATTGCCCAGTTTGAGGCCGGATATGCACAGCTTGTTTGGACCGTTTGGAGCAGGGGAAGATCTGGGTATACAACCTGTAAGTTTGCATTGTTATTTGTGTATTTATCAAACAAGACTGTTTAAATGTGTAAACTGTGTTGGACTGCTAAGCCATTGACACAGTGCTAACTGTGCTAACTAAGTTGCTAGAGTTTCCATATATCAACTCTAATATCAGCAGATGGCCTTGCATACATGTATCTCATAGCAGGAGAATGTCTGCATTCACACACAAAATACCTATTGACAGTATACTGCGGGTGATTTGCCGGTCAGTCGCGAAACGTAATTACATTATAGCTGGCGTAGCGATCTAACACACGGAGCTAGAGCTAGTTTTGGTCAGAAAAACATTTTTGTGATGCTACGTTGCTAGCGTTTAAATATATCAACTACAATGTCAGCAGATGGCCTTACATGTTTGTCATGGCAGGAGAATGTCTGCAGTCACACACACGGAATACTCATACAGTATACTCCGGTTTACCGTACATTGTGACCGTACATATACTGCATGTAGCTAACGAGGCTAGCTGTATGCTAGCGCAAAACAATGTATTCATGCAAGTTACATTGTATGGTAGCAGAATACCCGTATACGATTGCAATTATAAACACGTTATTGCTAGCCTAATATGAACCACTAGCTTTTGTTCATAGTAGTTTTATTACACTGCATTATAGTTGCCTTTCCTCCAAGCTAACGTTCATATCGTGTTAGCTACCAAGGTAAACAAAGCTAGGTTAGCATATTAGCAGGCAAGCTGTTCATTACACAACTACTACTAACGAATCTAAAACAACTAAGTTTCTCTAATATTTTGTGATTTGCATTTGATTTCGTCCAGCCAGATCCTGGCGGACAATCCATGACGGGGAAGGGATTCTACTACTACTGAGGCCTCGTGCTAAAAGGCACCGCACCGCACCGGCTGTGCGCAGGCAAGAGGAGGAGGAATGGATGATATACCGTGTATATATGTATATTTATGTTCATTTTGTACATTTCTAAAAATAAAGTTTAATGGAAATACTTAGTAGGCCTATCCTTTCTTCCCTGAATTCATATATAGCAAACCATGATTTGATTTCTCATCAAACAGTAGTAGTTTATAACGGGTAAAAATAACTTACTCTTTGTTATGAGAGTAGCTCGTAGGCCACAACGGAAAGACAAGGAGACATACACGAGTTTACAAAACCACGGCACATTTATTGTGGTAAATGCAGAGACAGGTGGTTGAGAGGATCGCAGAGTTAGTCTTCCTGCAGCCGCTTTGGAGAGAGACTGGGGCCGTAGTGTCCGGAGGTGTCCGTGATCGTGCTGATTAGCCTCTTCAGCTCCACCCCATCGTAAGACAAAGGCCCTGGGGCCGTCACACTCTTCTATAACAACAGTTAAAAATATATATGTATATAAAATATACCGCTGTACCGACGCCATGATAAGACTGATGTTACGCTGAGAGCAGCCGGGAAAAGCACTGACATGGGCGCAGCCTCTCTGGTGGTTGACTAATCAGAACGAGTGGCCGAGCTGACCAATCGGAGCACACTAGGCTCACAGGGAGGGGGGGGCAAGAGCTCCAACGAGTCGTTTAGTGGAGAAAGTGAATACTGCTGAATACACATGCTTGACAGAGATGCTGTATGCGAAACCAATGTGAGTTTGGAAAATTGCACAGTATAAATCTATTTTAGTATACCTCAACAATGTAATTATGATCAGTGGAAATGGCCATGACATGGGCCCTTTAAATGTATATCTTAATTGTCCCAATATACATGGCATTAACATGCTCTTTACAAACAACATAATAATCATGCAACGAAAGGCCAGCAAGGCAATAACAAAAAATAAATTAAAAAATAAAAGACTAGAGATATGTCTTCATGTTATTATAGTCTTGAAGATACATGTATCTGTTAGCTATTGTTCCAGTCAAATGTCTTTGTTTTGAGTCCAATGTTCCCACTTTCTGTTTAGTTTCTTGTAATCTCAATTTATGAATCAGTTGTTCCATCAAAAAGATTTCTTCCATGATTGTTGCCCATTGGTTTTTCGTTGGTGGTGCGTCCTCACCCCAGATGTCCTAGTGAAAGCTTTCTTGCTGGATATTAGCATAATTTTGATCAACTATCTGTCACTTGCAATAATTTCCTCAGTGAATTTACATAAATAGAGTACCAAACTACTTTTAGAAACCTTATACCCTATTATTTGACATATTTCCTCACATATCATTTCCTAAAACACAATTACAGTTTTTTTCAGTTGCTAACAAACTAAAATCTCACATGAAGCAAAATGATTTAATCTCACCCTCAAAGAGAAAAACCTCAGCTCAAATCTCCCAAACTCTAAACACATTCTCAGCTCTGCACCAAATGTGCAATTCAACTTGGCACTTTTTGCAAAACACTGCACACGGTTCTCTAAGTAAGACACAGAAATCTGACATATTCACTTGTTTGCCATTTTCAAAACACTGCCATTAAAAATGCTACACACATGAACCAATCAACAAATACACATGCCTTATGACCATAAACACCAAAACTGCTTTACTGTTGACTCAGCAATCAGGATGTAAACACTAGAAAAAGGCTTCATGTAAGAACTTTTTACAACAACAACAGATATATGGACAGCAGCCAGAAGAAGAGGCAGAGGGAGGAAGAGAGAGAGAGGGAGGATGAACTGTGTGTCACGTGGCATGATACAACCATTCAGCAAACAAATCAATAATATTTGTATTCGCAAAATAATTAAGTAGGTATAACTTGATTTGTACACACACTCAATTTTCAATCCCCACCAAAATAATAATAAGACAAATAAAAAATGGGATGATTGGAGGCCTCTCGCCTCTAGGGGGAGCTTGGATGGACATGGTCAGAAACAACACTCAGGTAGGCTGTGGCTTTTAAATGATGATCAATTGGTCGTAAGCGGCCCAAAGTATGCCAAGAAAATATCCCCCCCACCGTTACACCACCACCTCCAGCCTGAACCGTTGATACAAGGCAGGATGGATCCATGCTCTCATGTCTTCTGACCCTACCGCCTGAATGTCGCAGCAGAAATGGTCTTCTGCATAACTTGGCTGTAAGAAGTGGTTATTTGAGTTACTGTTGCCTTTCTATCATCTGACATTTTTCAGAAAAAAAGTCAGATTTTGGAGAGAAAAATTGGGAATCTGGGGGAAAATGTAATATGAGATTTGCAGAAAAAAGTCAGAATTATGAGATTTTTCTGAAAGTGAGGATTTTGAGAAAAAAAGTCAAACTTTTTTTTAAGTTAAATTCTGAGTTTTTCTTAAAAGTCAGAGTTTTGGAACTTTTCTGGAAAATTCTGCATTTTAGTAAAAGTCAAAATTGGGAGAAAAAAGTAATTGTGAGATTTGCAGAAAAAAGTTAGACATTTTGAGATAATAGTTAGAATTTGGAGAGCCAACAATGCAGACGAGCTGAAGGCCGCTAGTGAAGCAACCTGGGGAGCATTGATGCATCGTCATTTACATCACAAGCAAGGGGAGTCATGACTCTTATCCACAAATCAGTGCCCTTTCAAGTTTCTAATGTAATTAAGGATACATTTGGTAGATATTTGGTTATCCAGGGATCACTGCTCTCAGTTACCTTGAATGTGGTTAACATGTACGGCTCCAATACAGATGAGCCTGGCTTTCTTACAAATGTATTTCTTACACTTGCATCTCTCCCAGGAGAATATAATTGCAGGGGACTGGAACTGTACACTAGATCCAACCAGAGACCGATCTACAGGTGTTGATCAAACTCACACTAGAAGTACAACAACTATTCAACATTTCATTCAAGAGTTACATTTGTTAGACATCTGGAGACACCTGACACCTAACGATATTACTTACTCGTCTCACTCAAGTACTTTTCAGACATATTCGCGGATAGATGACTTTTTAATCTCTGCAATGTTATGTTAAAAAATACAGGACTGTTACTATGGCAGTATATTCATATCAGACCATGGAATATGTTGTATGGTATGGACGAGAACCTTTTTAGAGATCCACCCAGCTACAAAATGAAGAATTCATTAAATATGTGGGGACAGAGATAGATAATTATTTCAGGGATAATACTACACACGGCATGTATCAAGTGGGATGCCTTCAAGGCTTTTTGAGAGGACATAATTAGTTATACT